GTCAGTTACCGTTTTGATAGTTTGGTTTTCGTTTTGAGACAGTGTTTAATTAAGAAAAAGTCGTCAAACGCTTTATTAGCTGGGTCAGTATAAATATTTTTAATTCCAGGATGTCTGCATTGAGAATTCAGCGGGGCATAATAGTAGGATCTGCGCTGTCGAATTTAATTCAACCGAACAACTGAAATTTTGCGTCGATGCAGTAAGTTCACATCCCTTGCTGGAAGTGGAATGGGTTTGTGTCGGACCGAAAGTGGACGATATGGACGAAAGTACATTGGTGCAACTTGGCGTCCGAAAAGTTACGATGAGTTTCGACGATAAGCAATTTTCACCGCCCAGTGAAGTCAAGAACTGCGATTTATTGATTTTGGATAAAATACTGTCAAGGTGACCACAAGAACTGGACTTAAGTTCAATTGATAATAATCAAATGACAGAACTGGGATTCAGTTCAAATTTTTTAAAAAATTTTTGGGATTTAGTTTGTTCAATTTTCACAGTTGCTGCTTTTCTCGTGTCATTTTTTTCATTAATTGATACTTATCCTCATACCTTATGCAGATGCTATGCTATCGCGCATTTTGTTGTCAGCGATGCAGCTCTCAAATTTCTTATTTTTCTGAGCCTTAAGCCCTCTGCATCCAGCTACTTCTAGGCATTCAAATGGATTTTTCCATCGTACAGGCTACTATTTCAATTTCGTTCAGCATCATCCTGAATGAATTCTTGTCAGTCGGTTTCTTTCTTCACCACATGACCAACCCAGTTTTCCTCTGTAGTACGCGTTGCTTTAGTAGTACTTTTCACGCTGAATCCAGAACCATAATGCCTTGCCGGTGATGTGCTGTAGCCGGCTGACGTCTACCATGTGTCGTTATATGGTTTGTCAGGTGACTACTAACTCTCAGCAAGCATGGTAGCACGTATTAGGCTTTTCTAGTTTGGTAACGGTGAAGCAGTGGAACTGAAAAGTATTGCCCTTGCAGTAAGTGTTGCGTTGTGCTAGTAGAGTTTCTTTTTAAGATAAGGATTTTTGAATTTACTACGGCTTTTTAGATTCAGCGTAACTTCGTAATTTTTTATCCTCGTGATAGCAGCTGTTTTTAAAATGCAGTAGAACAAGAAAAATTCTTATTCGAAACTGAAAATTTCGAAAATCTCGAAATTTAAAAACCAGTTTTTTAGACAAATTTACACTGAATATAAAGCATGGAAAACTGTGTCTTCACGCTAAGTGAGTGTGACTAAGCTGAAAATGAGAATAAGGGGAAAAAAAGGGGGGAGGGGGAAAGGAAAGTGAATATAAATCTGAATCTAGC